TGCAAGTGGGTCTTCAAAAAGAAGACAGACGTAGACGGGAAGGTTCATACCTTCAAAGCTAGATTGGTAGCAAAAGGTTATAGACAAATCCACGGAATTGACTATGATGAAACCTTTTCTCCAGTTGTTATGCTGAAATCCATTCGGATAATGCTTGCAATTGCAGCCTATTACGATTACGAAATTTGGCAGATGGACGTCAAGACGGCTTTCCTTAACGGGAACCTCAAAGACGATGTTTTTATGACACAGCCTGACGGTTTTCAAATTGCTGGTCAGTCTGCCAAAGTTTGTAAACTGCAACGTTCAATCTACGGATTGAAACAAGCATCTCGGAGTTGGTACATACGTTTCGATGAAACCATTTCCAGTTTTGGTTTCGAAAAGAACTCTGACGAATCTTGTGTATACAAGAAGGTCAGTGGGAGTATAATAGTATTCCTAATCTTATATGTCGATGACATATTGTTAATGGGTAACGATATTCCCGCTCTCACTTCTGTAAAGACGTGGTTGAGCGAGAACTTTTCCATGAAAGACTTAGGGGATGCTAGTTATGTCCTTGGCATTAGAATCTACCGAGATAGATCAAGAAAGTTAATAGGTCTGAATCAAAGTACATATATAGATAAAATCCTTGATTGATTTAGCATGTCTAACTCAAGGAAAGGATCTTTACCTATGACACCTGGCACGGTTCTTTCCAAGAGCCAGAGTCCTTCTACTCCCAAGCAGAAGGAACTCATGATGAAGGTTCCATACGCTTCTGCGATTGGATCCATCATGTACGCCATGATATGTACTAGACCTGATGTCTCATTCGCTTTAAGCGTGACCAGCAGATACCAGGGAAGTCCAAGAGAAACACACTGGACAGTGGTCAAGAACATCCTCAAGTATCTTCGCAATACTAAGGATGCATTCCTGGTATACGGTGGTGAGGAAGAGCTAAAGGTGGTCGGTTACACTGATGCTAGCTTCCAAACCGACAGAGACGATTCAAAATCACAAGCAGGATATTTGTTTTGCCTGAATGGCAGAGCTTTTAGCTGGAAGAGCTTCAAGGAGGATACAACTGCCGATTCGACTACAGAGGCTGAGTACATAGCTGCCGCCGAGGCAGCTAAAGAAGCTGCTTGGATCAAGAAGTTCATTACTGAACTTGGAGTGGTTCCTAGTATTAATGACCCTATCTCGTTGTTTTGCGACAACACTGGGGCCATTGCACAGGCAAAGGAACCGTGATCTCACGAGAAAACCAAACATATTGTACGACGCTATCACATCATACGAGAAATCGTAGACAGAGGAGATGTGATGATTTGCAAAGTAGATACTAACGACAACATAGCCGATCCCCTGACCATGCCTTTAGGAAAGCTAAAGCATGAGGGTCACACTAGGTCCATGGGCATTCGACCGATGCCAGATTGGCCATAGTGCAAGTGGGAGATTGTTGGAGTTGTGCCCTGATGGCCAACTGTTTATCGTTATTCTATCATGTATAGGCAGATATAATATGTTTACACATCTCATGCTAATGTAAACAAATATTATATTCCTAGATTTATATTTAAAAGATGTTTATCAGATAGTGTTCTTCTGCTGATGAGACTAACATCTTGAAATAAATATTTATCTAAATGTCCATAGTCGAGTATTAACGAGAGTGGGATATCGTTAATGCATGTGAGACTAGTGTGTGTTGGATGTTTGACTTAGTCTCATAGTCAATGACGGTGTGTTCGCATCCGCACATGGGCAGATATTATCTAGAGATAATAGGATGCCGGACTGACCCATCCTAAAGATGTTGCTTGAACTTTTAGTTCATGCTCTAAGCATCTTTAGCGCGACCACGGGTGTAACTATCCTTCGACTTGAAGTATTACGTTTTCTGCATATGTGAACCCGCAT